AACAGAATCTCTGCCCAAAGAGAAGGGAGAGCAGGAAGTTGATGCTGGTCCACAATCTGGCCCCAACTTGCCCATCTCCTGACTCTTCTAAGAAAAACCTCACAAAAATTAATTCACAGCAATGCTGTGAATTTACATCATCTCCATTCCTCTAGCAAAGCTGATCCAACAGATCTGTCCAGACACATGTTCTCCCTGGGCCGAGGAAGCAGCAAAAAATATCAATTGAGCAGGTGAAATTATGATGACGGTGTGTGCAGTATAGTGTTTCCAGATGTCTTCACCTTCTGTCTCCTCCATGGTGGGAGCCCCCCCTTCCCCAAGTCCCACACACACCCCTCCCCCTACCCCCGAGTCCAGGTGCTCCCATCTGCTGGCTTCTACCACTCACTTCCCATAGACACTCTCATCGCTGTAGGCCACGTACAGAAAATAGTCTTCCTCGTGGTTGTCCTAGGGGAAGAGAGTAGAGGAAAATTTACAAGACATAATCACATTCAACATCTCCAGGATTCTGAGCATCACAGAACCTTGTCAAGTAGATATGGAAATTATCATCAGTCTCCATTAGAAGAAGGAACAAAGAATAAGCAGAGGTTGTTGAAAGTGAACTTTGAGTTCACAGGCAAAAACCTTCATGGAGAACATCATACACATAGATATCAGAGATAAGAACATGACTAGGCCATACATAGTTCTTACCCTTAAAACTCATTCTAGCAAGGAGAATAGAGATACAACAAAACGTATATACTGGAAAAATATACTAATAGGGAATATATGCTATGGAATAAAAATTAGAAATATTAGAAGCTTATTCAACTCACTAATGGGCCACACGAAGGCAGCATCCTGTGTGAACTCCTTTAAGGAATAACACGGTTACACTGTTAGTGATACAGTGTGATAAAGTCCTTTACTACAGTTTTTTTGTATTAGATTCTGACAGTAAACCAAATAAATTCACACAAATTATTCTCTTTGGTTGAGCTTATCTGTTAAGATGAATCAATTTAAAGATTTATCCTTAATTTGAAATTTCAGTTTATTTGGAATTTTCACAGCCAGAAGCCATTTCTTGCTGTTTCAATAAAGATAATCCACTATTAAAACACTCTAGGAAAGACTGAAAGAGAATTCAAAGGGATCAAATCTGGTAGCTGCTACATCCCCAAAGGATAGTCAGTGGTATCTCATCTCCCAGAGCCTCACACCACATGTGTAAGAGGATCCTGATAGACAACATCTCCTGCCCCACTTCCCGGGTGTGTTATCAAAATGCACTGGGACAAAGCTGGACAACAGCAGACTTGACAGTATTGTTGTGACCAAGGATCATTACCTCATACAGCTGGCCCATGGTAGCGCTAGTGGGAGGGATAGTGTTGTTGACAAAGAAGAATAAGGCGTCCTCAGGTCTCAGGTGGATCCTCTTCCGGATTAAGAAGTAGAACTGGCCAACTGGAAGAAGAAAGGTTTAAAAAAAGAAGGCAAGAGGGAATAAAACAAAGGATGAGGAGAAGGGTAAGACCCAGAAAAAAATTCTGTCGCACCTGTTCCAAGTACCACCTTTACATACCATCTGAACAGAGCCCAATAGTGTCATCTACAGCTGTAGAAATAAAAAGGAGAACTCAAAGAAGCCTCAGAGTCTCTGACATGCCACTGAAGAGTTTATTTCTCAGAAAATAAGAATTTCTTTTCCTTTACTCCATTTCAGACCTAATGTTAGGATAGCCACTCGAAGCCAGAGGACAACTCTGAAGGAATACCACGTATATCCAGACTGAAACATTCTCATCATTGTCTAAAATTGATTTGAAATAAACTTCCACACTCACTTCCACCCTAAGACAAACTAATGAGAAGAGAACTTCTGGACTCCTGTAATCTTTAGCACCGTCACTCATTCCAGTGTTGGGGCAATGAGTGGGGTTAAATGCCTTCTCCTTTACCGAGCACTGAAAAAGTTCTAGAAGGCTGATATTCAAAACTAATCAATCATTCTGAAGCCAACATATCTACAAAAATCTTTCCAGTGCCTCTTAGACGCAGTGGTTATTCCATTAAAGATCAAGGTGAAGAATGAATATATCCTTTGCAATTCCAAACAGTATCTACGAAATATTACCAAAAAACATAGCTTGAGGAGATAAGGTATTGAGCCGAGAACCTCTTAAATATGGTCCTCCAAAGAAACTAGTCTGGTTTTCCTTTGGGAATAAATTGGTATCACACCAACAGAGATGAATTTTAAGTGGTTTAAATAATGAACATCTGATCTTCTCTTTCCATGGTTTGTACTTGGCTGTGTCTAAATCAAACAAGACCCTACCATGGGAAATGCATAAGGGAACTGGTGATGAGGAAGAATCATGTCACCATTTTTGAATCACTTAACCCTCTGGAGAATTCCACTCACTTTCTTCATCCCTACTTCCTCTCAGTCTCACGAGCTCATGCATACAGGAAGGACTGGGAATGCTTTGGGGAAGGGGGATAATCAGGGGAAGAGCATTACCAGTGAGGTCAGAGGGCACTAGGTACTTCCTCTTGTCCAGATCAGGCACCCTGGCCTTAGGAGCCTTCTCCACGATCACCTGGGAGGAGAGGCAGAGAGTGGGAATGAAAACTATAGAATCCAACCTCATGTTTTTCCTTCCCCATCCGATAGGTGCCCTAGCTGAAGTGAGTTTGCCTAGGCCCAATAAAACTTTTCCATTTCTTATTCTCCTTTATCCCTTACAAAATGTATGAGGAAATGGGCTTTCTTTTCAAGCAGATGATGAAAAGTAAAAAAAAAAACTTTAATTGTGAGTTACCTCTAAGGTATACTATAGAATATATGCTTTCTGATATTTAATTAGAGCATTAAAAAGATTGAGTTGTCTCGGAATGTCCAGAACACCTATTAGTTTTATTATGTCTTACAAATTTCATTCATTAAAGATATTGATAACACAATTTAAATTTTATACTTCGTCAAAATTTTTGAGAATAACTGCACAAAATATGTTCAAGATACTATTTTATTGAGTGAAAAAAGTCAGTAATAAAACAGTTCTTATAGTATGATATTCTGTAATATGATGTCAGTACAATAACCCATTTATTAACATTGATTGTGTTAAGATCTCAAGGGATTTTCAAGGTTAACAACAAATATTTTATAATACTTCAAGTTTTAGAAAGGTCATATATTTCTGTACTGAAAAGAAAAAAAGCTATACAAAAATTAAAGACATTTTATGCATGTAAATTTTTTATTTAAATTTAAATTAAATATTATAAAATATATTTAGTACTTATAGATTTATGTTATATAATATGTATTTAATTTAAATTATAAATTTTAAAAATCTATTGTAAAACCATGAGCTTTAGCTTTTTAGTTTAGAAAATATCGGCAGCCTAGATAGAAGATATGGGAAGTATAGAAAAGTTAAAAAAAGCAGAAATAAACACTGGACGAGTATCCCTACTAGCTGTGTGATCTTCAACAGGTCACTTAATCTCTCTGAGCTTCAGCATTCCAATGGGTAAAAGGAAGATAACTTTCCAACACATATTTTACAATGTCATGGTACTGATACAATCAACTTGAGTAATCCATTAAATTTTAGGTAAAAAAGCTTTGTAAATTATATGGAATTATATAAACATAAGGATTGGCTTACAGGGAGGAGTTTAAAGCTTTGAAATTTAAGGGGACAGATTAAAACAGTGAAAAATTTATTTTGTGTTTACAGAGAAAAAGAATCCTATACTAGAAGTCCAGAGGAACATGATCACACTTAAAACTAAAAATAAAAACTGGAGTGGTAATATATGAATCAAAAATTAAAAAGACAAAGTAGGAACAGCTTCAGGAAGAAACCAGTGAAGGACCAACAATGAAGAGGATGTGGCAGGTTAACAAAATCAAAGGAAAACAGGACACACAGAGCTGTGTCTAGCAGGAACTAAGACCTGGAAGCTCCAGCTCCGATCAATCAAGAGATGAAAACAGGAAGGGTGCAGAAAAAGAGCAATAAAGCCAATCGCAAAGAAGACATCCGCAGGGAAGGAGGGATGATTTGGAGAGGAACAGGAAGGGGAGGGGTAAACATTTAGGCCCTGATTTACCAGGAAATATTCAGGTTTTCAGGAATCCCAACTCTACTCCTCACTTACAGAGGGCCCTGGGCTAGATGCTTTGCCTGTTTGGTTCTTGGTTTCTGTGTGAAATGAAAAGTGTCCAATACTCAGCGTTGTTCAGGAATTTAGTTTCCTGCTATGTTGCAGGTTTTCAATACACTAGCTATCAAACCGATTTCAAGAACCCATGAAACCCTTCTCTTTAGGCACAAGCACACCTCTTCAGGTGTGCAGCTCTAGAGATATTGTTGGGGTTAAGCTTAAGATATGTGAGCAGTCAGGGTACAGGACTGCTATGGGATTGCTTTACCACCACTAATGGTCCAGCTGAAAGGGGCTTTGGAAATCATGTACTCTAACTCTTTTTGTAAACAGGACACTTGAGCACAGCAAGATGAAAGGTTCTGCCAGAATCAAAATCAAATCTCAGAACTCAGAGAGCAGAGCTCTTCTTTCTGCGTCACAACTAGAAAGAAGGTCACACGCTGAGCACCTAAGGAGCAGTTGGGAGGCTTATCGCTAGTTAAAACATAACTAGAGAGACCATGAGATCCGACTGATGGTTCTAATAACTTACAAATTATACAATTTTGTAAAACATTTAACACCACATTTTGAGCAGGAAAAGAATAGGAGGAGGGGAGATGAGCTGAAATAGTCTGGTGAACACATGCAGATGATTGAAATGGGAAGGTCTCGGTTTTAAGAAAACAAATGGGAATTTAAACTAGATTAGGAACAGGTACATTTCAGTTTGTAATTTACAAACAGCTACTGGAACAGTCTCATAATACTTTGTGAACTCTTGAGGGCGGCAACAGTTCAATTCTCTATTTCCAATCCCTAACAGTGTGAGGTACACAGTGAAAACCGAATTCTGTCTAGTAGAACTACCTTAGAAATTGAGAAATATTACAGCATGGAGGGGCTCAACAGCAGGGCTGCAATGTGGGGTCTAACCACAGATCAGCCATGTGAAACCTTTAGGTTACTTCACTTCTCTGTGCTTCAGAGCCCTCATCTGTAGAATGGGCATTATAACGGTGTGTGGATTAAGTGAATGACGATAGACACAGCACTCAGAATATGCCCAGGTACGTGGTACTATCAATAAGTTACTTTAAATGTTATTATAAGAGAGTAGAATGTCGCCAGAATTGGGAGAAATTTTTAAAGCAGTCATCCAAGGTCCAGAGACCAGGAAAGTAATTAGTGAAGGATCCTTTTTGTGTGCAATTCCCGGGAAATGGAACGGCTTTCACACTTCCACTTCCTTATAGGAAAAGGCTGTGGGGCCATGACAGTTAGATAAGGATTGAACAGGAAGCTGGCCCAGAGAGTACCTGTGGGTCAAGAAGCACATCAGATTATCGCAATTCCTTTACCTGTAAATTATATGTAACATTCATCTTAATGACCCTGCCTGAAGATCAAGAGCACAACATTAAAATCTCTGCTCCTCCATCTCCAAAATCCAAGGGTTGTTGCTCCTTCTACCACACTTAAGTCTTCTGCCTTTCAATACGGCTGAGCAGCCTACTTGAGAGAAAAATCAGGCAAGTGGCGGGGGAGGGGTGACAGGGTAAACGCCCGGATGCATAAATACCTTAATATTTCTTTTCTGTTCCCCCTCACTGCCTGCCTGACTTTTAATTACATAAACCAAGGTTCAAAATAGAGAGAAAAAGGCCTCGGCCCTTCTTGACTGTGCTCAGGTACAATATGATCAGAATAGGTACCGGAGGAAGGCTGGCTGCCCGCACACCTGCCCCCACACCTGCCCCCAGAGCCAGGAATGATGAGGCAATCCGACTGTTGCGCAGAGAACATGACCTTGTTTTCTAGGCCAGGTCTGTCTTGTGCCCCCCGCGCCCAACTCGCCACCCCCCATCGCCATTCTCACAGAATAAAAGAAAGTATCCACTGGCTTCCCTCTCAAACCCAATGCTATGAGGGCCAAAGTCAACTTGATAAAGGGCGAACCAGCTAAGGTAGAAATCTATGAGAGCAAACCCCACTGCATCAGTTATTCCCGGTACAATTTCCCTGCAATCTTAAAGGCAGCAAATGTATATCTCAACCTAATCATTCTCGCAAAGAAGGGTCACATTTTGAGCACATCCCAACCTAAACAGCCTGTGAATACTGCTGAGTCACTCAAACGTAGGCTCCGCTCTAAGGATGCGGTCAGCTCTAAAGATGGGTACGGGCCCTGGGGATACGGGTTTTAAAAGGTCCACAGTCAGAACGTCCATCTCATTGGCTCTCCTCGCAGTGAAGGGCGTTCAGGGTTAAGTAATTTTAGGGACCAGCGTTCTTCTGTGCCTTCGGGCGGCCATCACGACTCCCCCGCCCCCCGATATTCCCATTCCCCTCCCCCTTCCCGCTCCCCTTACACTCACAGGGACTCTGTCTGGATATTTCTTCCGGATCTTTTCTCCTTCCTTTTTCCGATACTCAAAGGGATGGTCCTCCTTATACTGGAACTTCATGATGAACCGCAGGGTTTCTAAGATCCCCGGACGGGGCCTGCCTCCCTCGCTGATGATTGCGTCTCTCCCGTCTTGCTTCCCTCCGCTAAATTTCACGATGGATCGGAATCCCTTCAGAAATGGCAGCTCCCGTATTCAATGCAGTCTGCTAGAGCTTTCAGAAGGGATCTCGGGTGCCCTAGTCTACAGATAGGGGATTGCCAGGTAAAGAATTCCCGGTGGCTTTTCCCGAGAGCTGAGAACACAAAAACAACACGGCGGCGCGTTGGTATTGTGACGTCATCACGCTCCGCCCTTCGCCCCGCCCCCAGCGTCCTGGACCCGCGCCGGACGGGGGTGGGCAGACACACGCTCTGTTTTAACATAATCTCTTTCTTTCTAAACTTTTTCAGAATAGAGGTCATTACAAATAGGAACTGTTTTTACTTCCTATTTTATTGATAATGTGACATTAAAGATGGGTTTAAAACAAAAAATATGTTCTAAAGATGTCTTCTTCCCTCTCCCTCGCTGTTTCTTAGTAGAGCCCCAAAACAAACAGCGAGAAAATCTAGCTTGTTCCAGCTTGTTGGGATCTGGAGTCTGGGGAAAGAAGAGATGAGGGTCCTGGGGGTCTTTGGCCAGTGGAAAAATGCCCCGTGCTTGCATTTAGCCCTTTGCTCCTACATTTGCGCCCGCCCGGCACCTCGGGAGTTAGGCTGGCTTCCTCCGACCGTGATCCCTCCTCCTTCACGTTGGCGTCATTTTGTTTGGGTCCATGCGGCAGTTTGTTCTTAGAGCAGGAACATAAACAAAACGTGACTCAAGAATTCCAAAAGGCATATTAGGTGAAGGGTATCAACTGTAATCAAGATCCAGAGACGTGATCACTCATGTTCAAATATAGAAATGATTCACTTTTCTCCTATTAACTCAGAAGTTGGGCCTGTCTTATGGAAAAGAGAATACCAAGCGATTTAAGTAATTAATTCAGACGTTCTTTTTTTCCTATGCAAAAATTCACCCGAAGGATAGTATTACTGGTTAAGTGTCTCCAAAGTGAATAAAAAGTACAACCTGAAAGGGAAGTAGACGACTCTGGGTGGTGGGCCAGGTGCCAGTGTAGCTTCCCTTTGGCCATCCCATTTTCCCACCAAGAATCAAAAGGACTAAGGCCTTTCTAATCACAACTCGTGGCAGTAATTCCAGAGACTGGGGCTGGGTAACAGAAGTTGTGAACGATAAAGAAGGGTACGGAAAGGTTGGTTTGCCCAGTGCAAGAGAGTTCTGAAAACTATATTAAACAATGACAGCCCCTGTCACCTTTCTTCTTTTATCAAGGTCTCAGTGTCTCTGCTTTAAAAAATAAACCTACAAAGCAAAAGACATTTTTATAATTGAAACAAGGAAAATGAATTACGTAACCCTACTTCTTGATGTTAATTATTTTTCTCCATAGCATCATTCAATTCTTTTATGTGTGAAAATCCAAGAATTAGTTTATCACATTACATGGTTATAATTTTTAGTCCTTATTTTCAAATTGAAATTTTCAGCTCATTTTAGCTTTGACCCAAATATAACTAAACCTCTCAACTTACAGCCAGTCGAGAAAAGTAATTGTAATGGAGGTTAATATTTTAAGACTATTGTTTTCTGATCAAATCTGAAAACAATCATAACTAGTTAAAATACTGATTTTAACTTTTATTTTAAAAATAAGCTAAGCAGGGTAGCAATTTATATATGAAAAATAATTTGGAGATGAAACTTCCATTACTATTTCTAAATGCTAATACTTTATCTTAGAGTAAATACCCAGTCTGTCAACTTCTAGAGTTTGCTCTCCACCTGTATTCTCAGCATAACATTTAAAATATTACACAAAAGACAATTTTATAAATTAACATATTCAATCAGATAAAAATACTTCAAAATTCTTTTTTAACCAAAGACAAAATACTATATTTAAAATCTCACATTTCAGGAACTCTAATTTATTAGTGATGGAAATGGAAAAAGGTACAGCCACTTTGTAAGACAGTTTATTGGTTTCTTAGGAGACTAAACATACTCTACAATACAATTCAGTATTTACCCAAGGAACTTGAAAATTTCTGTCTACATAAAAACCCACACACCGATGCTTATAGTAACTTTATTTATAATTGCCCAAACTTAGAAGCAACCAAGATGTCCTTCGGTAGGTAAATAGACCTTGGCTCCCACTCCTCAATATGAGAGGAATGTTAAATAATTTGTGGACATGTTTAAAACCACCACTATTACTCAAACCCATTCTTAATTAATCTTTACTTTTGTCTTTATCATTTTTAAGAGGGAATAAGAGAGGCGGGAGGATTGCTCACTGATGCCAGAATAAGTATAATAAAACTATTTATCATTGTGTCATCTCTCTTTTTAATATCATTCAGTGGTCAGAGATTCTCTGTAGTCTTTGGGGAAAACTCAAATTCCTTAATGGAGAAATAGAATACGTATGATCTGGCTGCTGTTTATCTCTCTAGCCTAATATACAGCTATTTCTTATTTTGTACTCTATGGTCCAGACATATTAAGTTAAAATTACTTC